AGAGATGTATATGTATATATGTACATGAAAATATATATATTTATATATTCATAAACATAACAGACTCGCCTAAAGATTTCCTCAAACTGAACTAAAACATTATGTTTGAACGTTGGAGTTATCATCTTACGTCGCGTATGCCATTTCTTGCCTACAAAATATTCAAAGAAGAATTTCAATAAATTTATTTCGACATCTTAAGGCGGGGTTACCTGTTGAGGTCAGCAATCCTTTATGCAGGGCTGGCTGCATGAAGTCGTAATCTATACTCTTGGTTATGAGAGTCGGATTACTCAATACAAATTCCGCATTCACAGGATCGATAATATTGAACATGGGTGACCCGAAGGCATAGATCAAATAGCTTTTGCCCATTTCCAGAGCTGCATCACGATAATACCTAAAAGTTCCCGCTAAAGTAAAGTATTTAATAATAAGCTTATCATAAAAATTCATTAATTTTTATTACCATCGTCTTTTCCACATAGATCGAAAACGTTCCCAAAGATTGTATTGCCCTTCAATATAGGGGCAATGTTATCCACGAATCTTCCATCCGTAGCTCGAGCTCGACGCGCAAAAAAAGCCAATACATAATATTCTTTATTGATCTTAAGTACCCAGTATAACAGTACAAACACTGTGATAATCACAATAAAGGGATAGACCATATCAAAGCGAACTCGTCTTGTCTGTTTCCCGAGAGCGACTGGCATATAAGACCTCAAGTTGTTTATAAATTTCAAGTGCTTGCTCGTAAATACAAGATAAGATTGTTGTTGAGACTTCCAAGCAGCACGTTATTTTTAACAGAAGGCTGAGAGTTGCACTCTTATATGTTTTTACAAATCTAGTCTTATATTGAAGAATTTAGCATGTTGTGCATTACTAATCATTTTTATACCCTGTATTCTTCTTAAAATGGGTCGTCTCTGCCTAAGAAGAAGMTCTAATATAATAATGGGTACCATACGAATTTTATAATATTAAAAGAATGATTTGTCCGCCATCCAACAAACTAAACTGTAAACAAATCTAAAACAGGTTTCTATCAGTTTTATATTTATATGTGTGCATATGCATAAACATGTATGCATATTTGATTTCGGCTTTTTGTGTCCAAGTTTTTCATAAATAAGCATTTTTGCTTTGCTTCTTTGAACTGTAAACTGTTTTAAAAGCTCATTGGATTTTAAAATTAAATTGAATTCAAATTTCTGGCTCACATACAATACTTGCGTTACTTCATATTTTTCATACGTTATCGTTAAATTTTCAGATTGACAGTAGATTTTAGTATTTTGTAGTTATACGCGTGTGGTCACACTAATGCACCGCTGCTTAAATAACAATCAATGAGTTGTTTAAAAATCTCGCTTGATTTCGTGAAATTATGCATCATATTTAATTGTGCACACAAAGGACATTTGTTTTCGGGGCGGCTGGTCGTCGGTGTCAGCAAGGCGTAGGCGTGTGGTGACCACAACACATAAATCTCAGTACCATCAGCATTGTGAGCGACAATAAATTGCGCGCGTCCCGCTTTGGAAAAAACGGCACGTGCTTGTTTGCAACAATTTGCTGCGAAATATGAACGAGGGCCGCTATGGTAGATTTGGAGCACTCATTGGCGTTGCGTACGTGAGCAGCACTCATTGTAGATTTCTGGTAAGAGTGAGAGCGAGAGAGTCCAAAATCCAAAAACAAAACGCACACACAACAATCCATTACAGACACAAACACACATACCTATACAAATGCTCACACACGCACGTTGACTCAATGTCTATTTTCATAGATTTACTCGACAAAAAATGCAGAAGTGCTGGCCTATCACGAGCTCAAACTGCGCCAGATAGTGCATAATGCCGGCTGGTTGGAATACGATCCCGCAGAGATATGGAAGCACATGCAGGAGTGCATTGAGGTGCGTAACGCAAAAGTTTTCGATTATATCAYCCATATATAACCCCTACCATTATTAATTGCATCGCTTCACACTTTTGTGTATGTTCGTGTGTAGACTGCCTATAAAAACCTGGTGATACTCGAAATCAGTCCGCATGACATCATTGCAGTGGGCATTGCCAATCAACGC